TGCTTCCATAGCCTTTGTCCAACCAAGAAAAACAACAAGTCAGCTATATCGCCTCATCTGCTCGGGATTTTCAACTTGAGACTTTTCGGTTTAACAACCATGGGCTTTACTGGCTCGACCACTCCGACCTCCTTCAAAGTAGTAATGATCAGCACTATAATACACACATTTTTTGTTGTTTTTTGGTGCGAATTTTCGTTTTGTTTTTACGATATTCTATTCTATTTTAAATGTTTAATTATGTAGAAATTGATTAAAAATGATATCCCAAGTTGCCATCCCACGTAGTGTTACATAAGAATTTATGAGAAAGTTTAGGGGAGATTAATCCCATCTTATTTACCATTGATACTGAAACAGTATCTGTATGAACTACATTATCTTAAGCACATGTATATGTTTATTATTTGTACATAAAGCTGTGTACACTAGGATTCATGTATTTGCGCTCTGTCTGTCCAGGACACACTTATTTCATGTGTTCTATTATTTCGTATGTTGTTGTATATTGTGTGTTGTTGTATTATTTCTTGTGTTGTTGTATATTGTGTGTTGTTGTATATTGTGTGTTGTTGTATTATTTCGTGTGTTGTTGTTTATTGTGTGTTGTTGTATATTGTGTGTTGTTGTATATTGTGTGTTGTTGTATTATTTCGTTTGTTGTTGTATATTGTGTGTTGTTGTATATTGTGTGTTGTTGTATTATTTCGTGTGTTGTTGTATATTGTGTGTTGTTGTATATTGTGTGTTGTTGTATTATTTCGTTTGTTGTTGTATATTGTGTGTTGTTGTATATTGTGTGTTGTTGTATATTGTGTGTTGTTGTATATTGTGTGTTGTTGTATATTGTGTGTTGTTGTATTATTTCGTGTGTTGTTGTATATTGTGTATAGTTGTATATTATGTGTTGTTGTATATTGTGTGTTGTTGTATATTGTGTGTTGTTGTATATTGTGTGTTGTTGTATATTGTGTGTTGTTGTATTATTTCGTTTGTTGTTGTATATTGTGTGTTGTTGTATATTGTGTGTTGTTGTATATTGTGTGTTGTTGTATATTGTGTGTTGTTGTATATTGTGTGTTGTTGTATATTGTATGTTGTTGTATATTGTGTGTTGTTGTATTATTTCGTTTGTTGTTGTATATTGTGTGTTGTTGTATATTGTGTGTTGTTGTATATTGTGTGTTGTTGTATATTGTATGTTGTTGTATATTGTGTGTTGTTGTATTATTTCGTTTGTTGTTGTATATTGTTTGTTGTTTTATTTTATGTGTTAGACATTGTTCAAAAACAAAATGAAGACATATTTAATCAGAGAGTGATATTTTAATTCGCTGATTTTAGAAGGTGATTGGGTGAGTTAGGCTAGAATAGCGTTACTCTCCCTGACGTCATTCATGTGTCCATTGGAGCTGGACGAACACAATGACGTCAGAGTGTAACAAAACCACCTGGAACTTCAAAGTACCGTAATCATCAACAGACGACACTGTAGTAACTGGGGACTTGCCTGTCAGAGTTACTCTAGAAAACACATTTCTAAAACCATTTCATAACGACACTTCTGTAACTGTTCCATTTACCCAACACATTTCTAGTACTATTTCATAACGACACTTCTGTAACTGTTCCATTACCCAACACATTTCTAGCACAATTTCATAACGACACTTCTGTAACTGTTCGATTATCCAACACATTTCTAGCACAATTTCATAACGACACTTCTGTAACTGTTCCATTACCCAACACATTTCTAGCTCCATTTCATAACGACACGTCTGTAACTGTTCGATTACCCAACACATTTCTAGCACAATTTCATAAAGACACTTCTGTAACTGTTCGATTACCCAACACATTTCTAGCACAATTTCATAAAGACACTTCTGTAACTGTTCGATTACCCAACACATTTCTAGCACCATTTCATAACGACACTTCTGTAACTGTTCGATTACCCAACACATTTCTAGCACAATTTCATAACGACACTTCTGTAACTGTTCCATTACCCAACACATTTCTAGCACCATTTCATAACGACACTTCTGTAACTGTTCGATTACCCAACACATTTCTAGCACCATTTCATAACGACACTTCTGTAACTGTTCGATTACCCAACACATTTCTAGCACAATTTCATAACGACACTTCTGTAACTGTTCCATTACCCAACACATTTCTAGCACCATTTCATAACGACACTTCTGTAACTGTTCGATTACCCAACACATTTCTAGCACAATTTCATAACGACACTTCTGTAACTGTTCCATTACCCAACACATTTCTAGCACCATTTCATAACGACACTTCTGTAACTGTTCCATTACCCAACACATTTCTAGCACAATTTCATAACGACACATATGTAACTGTTCCATTACCCAACACATTTCTAGCACCATTTCATATCGACACTTCTGTAACTGTTCCATTACCCAACACATTTCTAGCACCATTTCATAACGACACTTCTGTAACTGTTCCATTACCCAACACATTTCTATCACCATTTCATAACGACACTTCTGTAACTGTTCCATTACCCAACACATTTCTAGCACAATTTCATAACGACACATATGTAACTGTTCCATTACCCAACACATTTCTAGCACCATTTCATATCGACACTTCTGTAACTGTTCCATTACCCAACACATTTCTAGCACCATTTCATAAGGACACTTCTGTGACTGTTCCATTACCCAACACATTTCTAGCACCATTTCATAACGACAATGACCCATCAGGATCGCAGATTATTATTGTGTTGCACACATCACATACCTGACGAAGCCAATTAGTAAACGACGTTGGCAATCTAGCAATATATTAATTTTGGCTTTTATGTAAAATTGATATATTCGTTTGATTTAGCTTTGGTTCATGTTACGTCATGGGATAATATTTGTGTTTCAGATAGAGTCACTGATAAATGACTTCAACATTTTAAACAAAACCTATTCTGAGATGTAGTAATTCTAGTTGAACAATCTATTTTTTCCATGTCCTTGAAAGCTGTATATAAAGTTGTTGTTTTTTTTTGGAGGAATTTTATTTTTTTAGTAATGTTAATATTTTTGTTTTAAAATGCATACTGACTTGCTATATTACACTTGCTGCAGATTATATGTCATGTGGAGGTCACAAATAATTGAAATAATAAACTGCAACTAATGACATTAAGACTAGAGTGATGGCCAGTAATGACAAGATGGCCAGTAATGACAAGATGGCCAGTAATGAAAAGATGGCCAGTAATGACAAAATGACCAGCAATGATCTATCAAACAATTTCACAGGTAATCAAATTAATTATATTTTTATTTGATGATATATTTGTCTATTGGTGCTGATATTTAAATTACTATGTTGTATTTTATCAAAAGGAAATATCTTGGGTAATTTAGATGAACACAACAGTATGACAAGTGAAGATGACATATCACAATATTTTTCAGGTAATGTCCATTTATTGTCCTATTGTTTAAAACAAAATAATGCAGATATTTAAAAAAATAAACAATTTGACTGGTCAATGATTTGGTTTAGGTGTAGTCCTTGATTAATGAGGTTGGTTAATGATTTGGTTTAGATGTAGTCCTTGATTAATGAGGTTGGTTAATGATTTGGTTTAGATGAAGTCCTTGACTAATGATTTGGTTTAGGTGTAGTCCTTAATTAATGAGATTGGTTAATGATTTGGTTTATTTGTAGTCCTTGATTAATGAGATTTGTTAATGATTTGGTTTAGATAAAGTCCTTGATTAATGAGACTGGTCAATTATTTGGTTTAGATGTAGTCCTTATTTAATAAGACTGGTCAATTATTTGGTTTAGATGAAGTCCCTGTATTCAGGGACGTAGCGAGGGGGGGTGCGGACCGCACCGGGTGACACCATTTAGGGGGGGGTGACACCAAGGCAGAAAATAGCAAAATATATAGAGAAAAACTTGAGGGGGGGTGCAAATCGAAAGTTTGAGGGGAGGGGGGGGGGGGTGCAAATCAAAAGTGTGAGACGGGGAGGGGGTGCAAAAAGAAAACTTGAAAGTTTGTCCCCTGGAAGGGTCGCTACGCCTCTGGGTGTGACACCATTACGTGCCGGACTGGGTGACACCCAACCTCGTTACGCCACTGCTTGTATTTTTAAAAAATATTTTTACAGCATGATGGTGATGGTTAAGATGTTTCGAGAATTTATTTCGCGGTTGTACATTTTTATAAGCGATTATTATTACAAGCTTTTATTTAATTTGCTTTATACTGCTTTTGTTGTGCTTATCGAAACGGGCGAGTTACATTTTACCTATTTTAACGGACCGCTTCGTTTCAATCTCGGCACGTGAGTCAAGGCCCGGTGACAATGAAATGTGACAATACATTTGACTTAAGTGGATGCTTAATTTTTAGTGAGATTTCATGGAATTCTATTGTATTATTTTTCAATTTTATATTTACCATCTAATGAAATGTTTACAGTAATAACAATCCTTTTGTGTACCTATATAGGTACACATGAAGTACAAGAATGTCTTGAAGGTCAAAGTGAGGCAGAATTACATCAACACCAGACAAACTGCAAGAAAAATCCTGGTCATGAAGAGTTTGTACCCGTAAATAAATTCTGTCTTGAACACTTTCCTCCTGGTTACCATGACAACGACCTGTACGACTTTATAAAAATTGTGGCCTACCAAACAGTCAAGATAGGCGTTAACTTCACCAGTCCTGACAGACCAGAGTTTATACCAGGTACTAAAGATCCATATCCTTGCTACAGTATCAGGGGCAGGAAAGTAATGAGGACAGGGACAGGGAGGATGTTTAGTGCAACCAAGATTACAGAACAAATGAGGGATTACAGAACTTGTCCATGTCCCGATTGCCTAAAGTCAAAAACACCCAGCAAAGTGTGGTGGAGGATTCAGGTGGCGACAGCTACACATGTTGTTTTTGATGAGAGTGAGGCGAGAAAGTCCAACTGCAGGTTGTGGTTTGATGATGATAAAAGTCCAGTGGTCAAGATTTATGGGTGGAAGGATAGTGGGTCAAACTCTGTGGGAGATATGTCAATTTTAAATTGTGCGACACATGATTTAGATATAGGTGACAATCTGCAAAAGATAATGATTCGGTTTATTGATCTATGGCAAAAACTAGAGGACAAATACAAGAGTCGTAGAGATGTGGACAAGCTGACCTTTATAGTGTCACATCCTCATGGCTGGTCTAAGAAGGTCTCTGTAGGTCACTGGTTACACAGGCAGGAGTTACCCAGACCGGATGTGAACGGGCATGTGGCGAAGGGTAAATTGACCAGGTACACGTACACAACTTGTACCTGTCCAGGTAGCAGTGGGGCTTTTGTGTACAGAATAGGTTGTGCTTGGTCCAGCCACCCCCATACTGGATCCAAGTCTACGGGATTAAATTATAGTGGGTTATGGGCAGAATGTGACTTGTAGTTGTCTGCTCTTGTCCAGTATGAAAACAAACATTTCTATAAATAATTAAGGCCTGAAATGATTTAGTATATAAATTTATTATTCGAATAGATTCTAGATCTAGTTACAGACTAGTGTAGATCTATATCTCGAACTAGATCTAGAATTTAAATTGGTAGAGTAAATATTTGAAGTTTAGGCGGATAAAATTGTACTGTACACATATCACAGCGAAAGTAGATCAAAATCAAATTTGAATGAATTATTTCATTTCTTTATATTCTAAAATCGGAAGATGACGCCATTAGTTTTGTGTTGGTTCCTTAGTGTAAACATTTTTTAAATCATTGTTTATGGCGTTCGTGTCACAACTATGAACAGTTTGCATAATTAAATTTGTTTTTCTACATTTCAATATGCCTTTATTTTAATTTTTCTTCTTAAAATTAAATTGTGTTTATATATTAAAAACATCTAACGTATTCTTTTTCAAACAAAAGTACGTATCAAGTTCTCCATATATCGCTGAAGATATTGATATCATAGCCTGTGAACATATGTTACGGACAGAGAGAGAAAGAGAAAGAGAGGGAGACAGCGTGAATTGCGCACATGGGCTTTTATATATTAGGATTTCTTGTCTTATTGTTGTAGTGCTGTTTCTACCTTTTTTTAATGTGCTAATTATAGTTCTCAATATATTATCAGAGAAGAAGTTGTAAAGTATTTTTTTCAATGTTATTAAAAATTAACGTAGATAATCATTTTACAGCAAATCGTTTTTCCTTCTCGTTTTTGTGTAAATTTTGAATCTAGTGACTCTCAATAATGACGCTAAAGTTTAGATCTAGGGACTCTCAATATTGACGCTAAACATTTTATCTACCGACTCAATTTGGCCATTACGTGGTTGGCGGTTAATAATTCTTTCTCTTCGCTGTTTCAATCATGTCTTACTATAGTTTATGTAATTAATTGCTGCTGTTTCAATTAAACCTTACTAAAGGTTATATCGTTAATTGCCGCTGTTTCAATCATGTCTTACTAAAGGATATATCGTTAATTACCGTTGTATAAAGCATGTCTTACTGAAGTAAAGTGTACTCTGGTCAATACATCTTCAACACAGGCAGTTTCCTGAACGTCCAGGTGTTTATAAGATAGATAAAAACTGTTGCTCTAATCCTATGACGACATGCTATGGCCTCTCAGCTAGCAAGTAATGACGTCACATACTTGAAATACTTCAAGTGCTGAAACGTGTACTTTTGACAGTCGGATTAAAATATTAGATTCACATGTCTGGTAGTTTTAATAGAAATTTCTTTAAATTCATACATTCAGTGCTGCTCAGGTAAACACATACTTAATGTGGTAAGGTCAGATATCACACAACGTCAGGTGTCTAATTGATATCACACAACGTCAGGTGTTTAACTGATATCACAAAACGTCAGGTGTCTAATTGATATCACACAACATCAGGTGTCTAATTGATATCACAAAACGTCAGGTGTCTAATTGATATCACAAAACGTCAGGTGTCTAATTGATATCACACAACGTCTGATGTCTAATTGATATCACACAACGTCAGGTGTCTATTAATATCACACAACGTCAGGTGTCTAACGGATATCACAAAACGTCAGGTGTCTAATTAATATCACACAACGTCGAGTGTCTAATTGATATCACACAACATCAGGTGTCTAATTGATATCACACAACGTCAGGTGTCTAATTGATATCACACAACGTCAGGTGTCTAATTGATATCACACAACGTCAGGTGTCTAATTGATATCACACAACATCAGGTGTCTAATTGATATCACACAACGTCAGGTGTCTAATTGATATCACACAACGTCAGGTGTCTAATTGATATCACACAACGTCAGGTGTCTAATTGATATCACACAACGTCAGGTGTATAATTGATATCACACAACATCAGGTGTCTAATTGATATCACACAACGTCAGGTGTCTAATTGATATCACACAACGTCAGGTGTGTAATTGATATCACACAACGTCAGGTGTCTAATTGATATCACAAAACATCAGTTGTCTAATTGATATCACACAACATCAGGTGTCTAATTGATATCACACAACGTCAGGTGTCTTAATTGATATCACACAACGTCAGGTGTCTAATTGATATCACACAACGTCAGATGTCTATTGATATCACACAACGTCAGGTGTCTATTTGATATCACACAACGTCAGGTGTCTATTGATATCACACAACGTCAGGTGTCTAATTGATATCACACAACGTCAGGTGTTTAACTGATATCACACAACGTCAGGTGTCTAATTGATATCACACAACGTCAGGTGTCTAATTGATATCATCAACGTCAGGTGTCTAACTTATATCACAAAACGTCAGGTGTCTAATTGATATCACACTACGTCAGGGCTTTAACTGATATCACACAACGTCAGGTGTCTAATTGATATCACACATCGTTATATGTCTAATTAATATCACATTACGGCAGGTGTCTAACTTATATTACAAAACGTCAGGTGTCTAATTAATATCACACAACGTCAGGTGTCTAATTGATATCACACAACGTCAGGTGTTTAACTGATATCACACAACGTCAGGTTTCTAATTTATTATCACACAACGTCACGTGTCTTATTGATATAACACAACGTCAGGTGTCTAATTGATATCACACAACGTCAGGTGTCTAATTGATATCACACAACGTCAGGTGTCTATTGATATCACAAAACGTCAGGTGTCTAATTGATATCACACAACGTCAGGTGTCTAATTAATATCACACAACGTCAGGCGTCTAATTGATATCACACAACGTCAGGTGTCTATTGATATCACAGAACATCAGGTGTCTAACGGATATCACAAAACGTCAGGTGTCTAATTGATATCACACAACGTCAGGTCTTTAACTGATAGCACACAACGTCAGGTGTCTAATTGATATCACACAACGTCAGGCAGGTGTCTAATTGATATCACACAACGTCAGGTGTCTAATTGATATCACACAACGTCAGGTGTCTATTGATATCACACAACATCAGGTGTCTAACGGATATTCCAAAACGTCAGGTGTCTAATTGATATCACACAACGTCAGGTGTTGAACTGATAGCACACAACGTCAGGTGTCTAATTGATATCACACAACGTCAGGCAGGTGTCTAATTGATATCACACAACGTCAGGTGTCTAATTGATATCACACAACGTCAGGTGTCTAATTGATATCACACAACGTCAGGTGTTGAACTGATAGCACACAACGTCAGGTGTCTAATTGATATCACACAACGTCAGGTGTCTAATTGATATCACACAACGTCAGGTGTCTAATTGATATCACACAACGTCAGGTGTCTAATTGATATCACATAACGTCAGGTGTCTAATTGATATCACACAACGTCAGGTGTCTAATTGATATCTCACACAGACAGATATCAGACTGCTATAACACAAGTCAATAACTAACATAATACGATAACAATTCATACGATAAAGAATTAAGCTATAGCAGGTTCATGCATAGGATTGTGTACAGGGAGATATACAACAAAAACATTGGACACTTTTCAAAGTTCTCGTGACTAGTTAAATTTATCTGATTACAGTGATCGCATTCTGTGTGTTTTTGTCACTATGTCGCTAAACATGATCTAATGTATTGTTCAGTCTATAAATCTTCAATACAACAGTATCAGATAACAGAATGTAAAAACATTGACGTTTTTGTTTCTTTATCACCTGATCAAGTGATGACCGTAACTATCACGTCTGTCGCCGATGTGATAAAATATGTTGATACAAATATTGATTACGGCATGTTTTTTTTAATGTTTTTTTTTAAATAACTGTGTGTCACCTCCTATATACACTACCTTACGTGTACACATATTTTTTCCTACACGACAACCGGCCACAAGTCTGTACATATAAAACATCCCATATAACCTTGACCACTGGTAGGCTTGACAATCCTACTTATGATGTATAAAGCTGATGTTTTCTTTTAAAAGTAACGGTTATTTTTATAAAGGCGTTCCTTGCACCCACAAAAAAAAATGACTAAAGTTTTTACCAGATTTAACGAAGTGAAAAGTTTACATGATGGAGGCATTAAACATTTTTATAAGTAGATGATTTACAACATGGTGACACACACTAAAACATTGGGATATGTAGCTTCTATTTATATCAGCCTACTTTATACACAGTATCAATGTATCACTTAAGACATGTTTCACGGTTTCACACGGTTTCACACATATCACAAACAACGAGACTATATGAGATACATGTGAAGGTAATGTTAATAATGTAATTTTTTTTAAAGTTAAATTCACAGTTAATGAACATGCAATTTTTAAAACATTTGCTCATAGTACAAGGTCAGGCCGGCAGGTCAATTTGTCATTTTTTTCACCTTTACTTTTTATCTTCTTTCTTGTGAGTTTACTAGCTGCATGCAAGCTGATAGAACTCTTTTTCTCCATAGACCTTCACACCAGCTTTTTAGATGCCAAAGTCAGTAAATATATGAACTCTACTTCATCTGCCATGAATTATATGTTGATCTGTGTTTTATGCTGATAAATATCCCGCGTATTGTACAACAAGCAAACATCTGACATAATGAACATAATGAACATCATAAAACTAAACATATCAGCCAATCACAACGCTGGAAGATATCCGACAATCACGTGACTAGCCAAGTAAAACAACGCCTCAGACATCAGGTGATAGATACACGACGGTGCCCTATATAAAGGTAATTTTTCATTCATCAGCTGATAGATACACGACGGTGCCCTATATAAAGGTAAGTTTTCATTCATCAGTTGGTAGATACACGACGGTGTCCTATATAAAGGTAATTTTTTATTCATCAGTTGGTAGATACACGACGGTGTCCTATATAAAGGTAATTTTTTATTCATCAGTTGGTAGATACACGACGGTGCCCTATATAAAGGTAAGTTTTCATTCATCAGTTGGTAGATACACGACGGTGTCCT